TTTTAGCAATGCTGATGTTTTCTTCTTCTTTTTAAAACCCACAAGAAACTGCCTGAATTAAAATTAGCCTGAATTGCCTCTATCACTCTCTTAGTGTGAAATAATTGCAACTGTGTGAAGTGTTGCACATTGCAGGTCTAAAATTGATTGTGCATTACTTTCTTTGGTGTCACAGAATCCATTGGTTTAACAGAGAGACATCGCTTTGTTATGAAAAACAAGTGCTCGCAAATGTATGAAGTCAAGTTTTAAAATGCTTGAAGAAGTTAATCTGTAATCATTTACTCATCTGAATCATTCAGTTTGAGCACTGTGTTTATTCAGTTGTGAGTCAGTAGTCACTGTGAAGTGGAAATTTAGAGGAAAGATTTTACAAAAGAACATCAGTATTTACATCTTAGTTGTTTTGTATAAATGCAGTATTCCTTGGGCATACTGAGGGTCATTGAATCTGGATAAAAGAATGTGGAGCTCCTTGGATCAATAGCAGGAAAAGTAAAGAAAACAACAGTCATAACAAATGCACTTGAGGAGCAAGTTAGGAAGTATATTATTATATTTATTTCCAGCACAATTCATGTGACCAGAATTGCTTATTTCTGGAATATGTCCACAATTTTTATGATGAACAAAACTGACGTTCATAAGTAGGGAAATAGAAGTTACATATGTAAGGAAATTATCAACCCAGCTCTATCTAACCTCTAACCTGCCTTCTTTATCACCCATGCTGATTCTACAGCAGCATTTCTGGGTAGGGTGGTAGACTACTGAGAATCACAAACTGTATTTCAGGCCACTCCCTGGTGGCCTAGTGTAGTAGTTAAGTCTCAGCACTGTCACCACTATGGCTTAAGTTCAAACCCCGGCCAGGGAGCTAACCCACATATGGCACAGAGACCTCTCCTGTCTCACCCGCTGCTCCCCTCAGCAGTGTATTTCAGTAGATCTGCCTGTTTTGCTCCTTACTCTGCCTCTGGTGAATCCTCTCACCCACACATACACACCTCTGGCCTACACCCCAATTCTTCTATTCAGAAAAAAATTAAAAAAAAAGAAAGTCTAGGGCCTCCCCGGTGGCACAGTGGTTGAGCACTGGGTTGCAAAGCCAGTGCTCTGCAGCACTGGTTCGAACCCCAGCCACCGGGCGAGGGTCCCACACAGTGCGCAGACCTCTCCTGCTGCACCCGCTGGTCCCCTCAGCAGTGTATTTTGTCAGTCTGCCTGTTCTGTTTCCCACTCTGGCTCTGGTGAATTTTCTCACCCTCCCAGGCTTCTGACTGTACCCAGTGCTTGTATAAATAAATAAATAAATCTTAAAAAAAAATAAAAAAGAAACTCTATTTCGTAATTATATGTATTGAGGGGAAGAAATAAAGTCAATTTCAAATAAGCAATTCTTTAGGTTACTCTTACAAAGATACCTGTGATTTCTCAGGTGGTGGGTTATATTATAAGGAGAAATTTCATAATTCTTCTACTCCACTAAGGACATAATTGGGTGATATCTAGGGTTGTAGCATAGCTTAGATAAAGAGTTTGATGTTTGAAATGACAAAGATTTTGTTTTAAATCTCAAAATTGCCACATGATCTCTGGTACATTTTTAAAAAAAATTTCTGGTGTCAGTGTCTTTTTTATAAAATTTATTTTATTTATTTATGCATACAAGAGCTTGAGTGTACCATGTGGGTCAACTGTGCCATGTGGGTCAGCTCCCTGGCCAGGGATCGAACTCGTGCTGCAGTGGCTGATGACTGATAGCTTCGTAGTGCTGAGACTTCAGCCCTGTGCCACCAGGGAGGCTCTGGGGGTCAGTTTCTTCATCTGTAAATGTTGGCTGATGATAATATAACATACCTGAAGCAACTTTTGAGGGGAATAGAAATAATTTTTCAAAAATAATCATTGCCTAGCTATATGGTAGATATTCAATAGGTCATGAGTAGGTAATATTTGCAGCTTTTATGTTTTTAAGTAAACAATTATTCCCTGTGACATTCTACTTAACAAGTATATAAGAAACAAAAATAATTTGGAACCCATGCTAATATTTCCTATCACTTCTCCATATAAGTAAGAATCTGAGATTCATTATGTCAGGCCTCCCACTGAGAGCATTTTCTGATATCAGGAATTCTTGTTCTCTACATTTCTTTTCAGAAACATCCCAAGGTTTCCATCCTTATTATACATCTAGAATAAATACACCCTAGAGATAAGACTTTATTCAAAACATTTCTTCCTTTAAGGAGAAAATGTCATTTTCTGGCATTTGCCCGATTTATGCTTGTGCCTATTCTTGTACCTGGAGCTTTTCTTCATGGCAGTCACTATAGTGATGTCCTCAAAGATCTTGGCACCAATATAGACTTCTTTCTAAGTGAGTTCTGGGAATGAGGGCTGGCACTTTTGACTTACACCCTGAAGGCGTAGCTACATTGACATGTCACTTTCTACTGCTTCGAAATCCTAATATGCCAAAAATCATGCCAGTGTATGCTTCATTTCTCATGTCTTTTGTTTCTTCTGCAAAATACTTCTAATTTCTATCTCTCCATAAGAGCCACTCAATTGTCAATGTGTATTTTGAAGAGATTTATTTTATTTTTTATTTTATGCATACAAGAGCTAGGGTGTGGACCAGAGGTGCAGAGGGGTGAGAGGATTCACCAGAGACAGAGTGGGGAGCAGATCAGGCAGATAGACTGAAATATACTGTTAAGGGGAACAGCGGGAAAGGCAAGAGAGGTCTGCCTCACCATGTGTGTAGCTCCCTGGCCTGGAGAATCTCACTCGTGCTGCAGTGGCTGCTGATAGCTTCATAGTTCTGAGACTTAACCCCTTGTGTCACGAGGAAGGCCCTGGTAAATGTGTATTTTGAATTATCATTGGGTACATTGAGTTTGGCTGCAGCTCAGCAAATAACACCCAGTCTTAGTGAAAGCTTTTTGGTCTGGAAAACTGTTGAATAACAATGTTTAAGAGAACTCTTATGGGACACAGTTTTATAAGATTATAATGAAAAATAAACAATGTGATTATTTCATGAGTAAGTAATAAATATGTACCAGTGCTATGAGATATTTATTAGGATATTTCATTTCCTCCCTCACCCAGTGTTCTACATCTGAAGAAGAATGTCATTCACATAGCCATTATTATTACCTAGAAAGTCCTCAAAAAAATTGCAGACATGGGATAGTAAGAGTAATGACCCACAAAGAGATCCAAGTCCTCATCTTCAGAATCTGTGAATATGTTCAGCTCTGTGTCAAAGAGAAATTAATGTTGCAGATGAAATTGATGTTGCTGATAATTAACCTTAAAATATGATGGGTCCAATGTAATCACAGCATTCTTAAACATGAAAGTAGGAGGCAAAAAGCAGAAAAGAAGTAAGTGTGACTATGGAAGAAAGACATGGATAAATGCAATATTGCTGACTTTGATGATGGAGGAAGAAGACTTTAAGGCAAGGAGTGAGGGTGATTTATATGACTTAGAAAAGAAGGAGAACTGAATTATCCCTAGAATCTCTAGAAGAAAGGAAGCCTTTCTTTCTTTCTCTCCCTCTTTCTCTCTCTCTCTCTCTCTCCCACTTTTTTGTTTGTTTTTTGCTTCAATAAAATTCCAGTCTAAGAACTGTTAGACAATTTGTTTGTGTTGTTTTATAATGTTTAAGCTTTTTAAGTTTGTGTAATTTGTTGCAATGGTCCAGTGATTTTCTTAATACGGTTTTTTCTTTGCCCTGACCCCTGAATACAGGGGTCGTAAATTAGTAAATTTTACATGGGTGTTGAAGGGAGGTAGTAAGTAATTGAAAAACCGGAAAATACATTATTAATGGGAGTTAATTTCTCATTTTCTACCATATTCTCATTGTGTCTGTCTCAATGCTGCCACACAATGATTGCTTGAAGACCCATGGAGACTCTTAGATCACTTGTGAATCAAATTAAATTATAATTAATATTGGTAAACAGGAAATAATGTCTGACAGCTTCTAGGAAATAAACAGATTATTAAAATAAAGTAACTATTTGAACTCTCTAAATATTTTGGAACTATCATACCTTAAGACAAAAAAAAGGGTTCATTATGCATTGGAGTTTTATGTAATAGCATCACAACAACTTGTTCAGAAGATCCTAATTAAAAGAAAGAAATGAATTACTGAGTAACATTAGAAATCTTGAGGAAAATGAGACATTTAATCTCATCATGAATCATAAATGCTTGGTTTTTTCCCTCAATTTTTTTTATTTGCCAATTGTTGAGATAACTATTATTTGGGGAGTATAAATGAATGATTACCTATGTGCACATGTTAAACCAAACACCACGAAGGCTCCAGTGACAATGTTCTGTCACCATCTTCATCTTTTTCAAAGACTCAGAAATGTCTTAGGAGGTTCAGTGCTGCCATGCAAAATCATGGCTTATCAATCACTTCCGTGGACAGAACTAAGCAGGTGACAATCTTGAACCAATGGTCAATACACAGGTTGCTTAAAACACTGAATGTGACAAACCTCTGGAAGGACCATTTTGACTTCTAATCTGTCTGCTTCTTTTCATTTTTCCCCTTCTGAGTGATAAGTTTTAATCTGCACTGCAGTATGCTTGAACTAATCACCAGTATCCATAAATAAGTGGTGATAGAAATATTGATAGAAATGCTATAAAACATCTAAGGTACAGAACAGATTTATTGAGACTTCTTTGCAGTTCATAAAATACATGAATGAAAATTCAAAACTTTGAAACCTAATCTCAAAGTAGAGAGAGCTGTAGCAGCTTTCTATGATATGTAGTTGATATATTGATACTTGCAGTAGGGAGAGAGTTTGGGAAAAGAAGGTGAAGAGAGATAGGAGACTGGTGGACTCTATATTCAAAAAATAGGAAAGTAGCTTCTGTAATTCTGAGATTATTTAAAGAGGACATTGAGCACAGTTTTAAAAAAAAGAAACAAAACTCTGCCTTTCATGTTGTAGAGAATCTTGGATTGGATTCTGAAGTTGCTAAAGCAAATGCCCTGGGTTTTTCTGGATGCCTGTCTTCAGTACAGTACAACCACATAGCACCGCTGAAGGCAGCCCTGCGCCATGCCACCATTGCACCCGTGACTATTAAAGGAACCTTGACAGAATCCAGCTGTGGCTCCATGATGGACTCAGGTGTCAATGCAGTGACCACAGTGCATTCTTCATCAGGTATAGTCAAGTAAATACCCAGTGGAACTTCCCTCACTAGCACTGCTTTTTATGTACAAGAAGCTTTTAGGTTACAGGCTGATATTACGCAATTTTTTACCATGCATGCTTACAGGTGGTTAATAATAGGTTTCTCATAAGTGATTTCTATGTAATTTAATATAATCCTACTAGTAATATGATAAGTAGTTAGTATAGAATGCTTATTTGCATACATTACATATCATAAACAATATATGCATATATGTATATATATAATATGTAACTGTACAAATAAGCATATATAGGTATGTATATATCTAACATATGTGTGTATGTGTGTATGTGTGTGTGTGTGTGTGTGTGTGTGTGTGTATAAAAATACCCATTTATGGCTCTGAGGGTTACGTAGTTTAGGGGTCAGGGAGGATAGTTGTTGAATTAATATAGTCCATGTGATTAAAATCAGCCCTCCTTCCTTAATGATGGGTGAGTCTCACAACACCATCACCCACATCTCTTGATTTGTCACTTCATAAATACCTTCTCTATCTTTACTTAGCTGCCATCATCCCTAATCTTTAAATGTGCCTGGAAATTTTTAAATCAGACATGGTAGTCAATTGCCAGATCTGGTAATGTGAACAAAAAAAGGGAACTGTATTTTGCTGCTGCTTAGTCATTACCAGTCTTGGTATTTTCCTGGCAGCAGTGAAGCATAATGGACAGTAACTGAAAGAGGAAGTTGGTTGACATTAATTTGAATTCTGAATCTTCCATGAATGAAGTAGAACTTTGGACAAGTTATTTAATGACACTGATCTAATTTCCTTATCTTTGAAATGGGAAAAATAATGCTTATGTTGTAGTCATTTCCTGAGTATTAAATAATACTGTAATAATAAAAGCTATTCTATGTCCTAAAATGGGTATGCACTATAAACATACATATATTTAGGAATCAGTAGTCCCTGTTAACATATTTGAGTATTTTTTTTGATAATGTACCTAGTTCAATGCTCCCAGACCAACAGCACAGGCAGAGCAAGTATCCAAACCGAGATCTACTTTCCTTCAAACTAAATGCTAATATGTGAAGGTCCGTATAAGTAATCCCTTTCTCATCAGTGAGGGTTTCTCTGAGAATGTAATTCTCCAGCACTTTTATCCTGCCTGGTCAATAGATTCAGAATCTTCTTTAAGCTAAAGAAACCTCTGAAATGTAAGAAAAAAAACAGTTCCTGTTTCTCTTTCTGTAGTTCAAGTGGAAAAAAAGGTGCTTGAGGTAAGAACAGTTTTTGTTGGAACAGTCCAGCAAAGCAGAGAGCAAATTCAAGCATAGGCTGAGTGTTATACTGCAGGCCAGCGCAGAAATGAGCAGGGTAACATTGTCATCTAGTTTAATCCCTTATCCTATACCTTACATAGAATCTTGCTGGGTCATAGAACTATGGGGTATAAGTAGTGTCTTTGAATGCCCTTTTTTGGGCATATGTTTGTTTGGATTCCTTCCAAAATGCCAACACTCAGCTTCTTGAGAGTACCTGGTCTGAGATGCAATCATCTTAACTCTGTATCGTAGATCTCCTTCCAGTGCTCTGAGTCAGGAATACAGTTTCATATCTTTTACTTTTTAGATCCCTTTGGGAAGACAGATGAGCGAGAACCACTTACCAATGCAGTTCGGAGTGATTCAGCCGTCATTGGAGGTAAAACATTTTTTGTTGCTGGAAACAGAAAAGAAACAATTGATTCTGTACTTCAGAGAAAACAATTGCAATCCTCCCTTAATTATGGCCATCCAGCACCAAGCAGGAGCTATATCTTCAAATCTGAGTCTTTGTAGTAATAGGCATGTGTGCTGTGTGATCAAAGGTATCTTCTCCTCCAGCACTGGCAGCTCCAAGGAGGCTTCCCGTCCCTGATCTATCAGGCAGCTGCACACCGAATCAACAGCTGGAGTATTTACTTAGAGACAGACAGCGTGCATCCTGCTCTTCTCATCCAGTTGTCAGTTTTCCTAGAGCACAAACAAAGCAAAGCAATAAAACTACATATGGGATGAAGCCATGTTGGGGCAGACAGATGGGCGAAGCCACAGTCCTGCGGGTTTTCTCCACCGAGTGATTTGGGCTAGATCTAATGAGCAGGATGAAACCCACAGGACTGTAGTTTCAAATCCAGCAGCACATATGGTTACAGAGGCAGATCTTGTCTGCTCTGCCATCAGCTCAGCTCTCCCTCCCACCTCCCTTGCTTTTCCATTTTCTCACTGCCTGTCGGCCTCGCCCTTTTTATTCTGCCTCAGCTTGGCTGCTGCCTCCAGTAGCTTGATGTTTCCATCTGGGTCTTGAGCACAGAATGACTCCCAAACCTTGTTTAATGTAAGATGCCTGTGAGAGACTAAATTCATTTCCATCTGAGAAGCATAGCCCTAGCAGGTGCCCCGGCCCGGCCTTCTGGCAGGCTAGATGAACTGATCCACACCAGATGGAGTTCTCCTTTTAAAAGTTGGCAGTATCCATTCATTTAACTTCTATTTAATGAGACCCTGCTATGGGTCAGGCCCTGTGCTAAGTATAGGAATATAGGAATGAGAGATATGGACACTGCCCTCAAAGAAATCACAGCCTGGCAGGGGAGAGCTGGATAAACAGATAACAATGGGAGTAGTGATGATGTTTTGAAAGGAGATGTTACCAATGACACTGGGGGCACAGACATGAGACATGACAGTAAGAGTCTAAGGAAGGAAGACCATGACCTTTCCCAAAGGAAGTCCTTAACACACCTGACCTGAATTTCTGCTTCAGGGAAAAGAGTCCAGTTTGATTTTCCTTTTTTTCTTTTTGCATCAGGACATGTAAGATAGAATTTGGTACCTGTTTCTCTTCCTATAATTTGACAAGGGGAGAATAGAATTCTGTGATGACATTTTCCTACCTATCTACACATTTCTGTGAATCCATAGGAGCTAGAAGTTCATCACAACCCCAAGGGAAAGTTCTGGAATTATGTGTAGCTCCAGCTCCGAATACTGCCTGTTCTGAAGGAATGGAAACAGCCCATTCTCAGGAGCCACTGACTAGCACCCTGGTTATGTACACATCTATTAATTTAGGTAGTTTGACTCTGCCTTTTTCTAAAATAGTTGGGGACGGGCCATATAATGACTTAGGAATATTAAAAGAAAATGTAACATCTTAATTGTAGCCCCATTTCTGATACAAATCGGTAGAAGACATGCTTCAGTTGTTTAATTCTCAAATGTCCATGCTTATGCATATCATAATTCAGGGTAATCAAAAATGTCTTCCTCAAATAAATATTTCTTCTCAATAGTAATTCTACTCATAAAGTAAACAAAGCGACACTTTTTAAAGAATTAACCTATCTTTGACTATCATAAATACTATTCAAATATTTTAATATCAGGAAATCTACAGATGCATCCTCCTTTTTAAAATTCCACCGCCTTCACATTTTTTTTTTTTTTTAAAGATTTATTTATTTATTTATTCATACAAATGCTGGGTACAGTCAGAAGGGCGGGAGGGTGAGAGAATTCACCAGAGCCAGAGCGGGGAGCAGAGCAGGCAGAAGGACCGAAGTACACTGCTGAGGGGAGCAGCGGGCGGCAGGAGAGGTCTGCGCGCCATGCGGGACCCTCCTCCGGTGGCCAGGGAGCAGCCGGGGATTGAACCGGCACCGTGGAGGCTGCAGGCAGCTTCGCAACCCAGCGCTCAACCGCTGCGCCACCGGGGAGGCCCCGCCTTCACATTTTTACCTTTCCTTTGCTGACCTTGCTTTTTCTATCTCAAGGGACTTCCTGGCAAAGGTAGTGACAAGACCTTAGGTCAGAGAGGACAGCTTTCCAAGTTGATCCAGTGAAATCACATAAAACAAAGTAGACACAATTGGGCAAACATTTGAATTTACACTCCTCAGTTTCCTGAGGACAGGTGCATAGGAGCCCTGAGCTAGTCTCTGTCTTGCAGAATGTAGAGCAATGAAGGCCCTAAATGTTCGGTAAGCATTTCATTAATACATTACTTACAACACACAATGAAATCAGGACAGCATATATCAGAGTGTGAGATATTAAATACTGTCCTCTAGGAACTGAAGTAGTTTGAAAATACTTAATTGCAAGGTGACAAACAAATGTGCCAATTACAAATGATGCTGATACATTCTTTAAAGCAGATCTTAATTGTACCCCAAAATCCTTTATTGCTCTGATTCTGTCTGTGTAGGGTGACATTCTTCTTGTTATTTTCAGTTTAACCTATGCTCTTTTTTTTTTAAATTGAAATGCCAATGTTTTATATATGTGCATTTTTGACAGTATAAGATTTCCCCACTTAGGTGAAGTCACTGTAGCTCCACCCCCCAACAGCAGAACAGCCATCATTCTCCCCCACAGTCCATCATGCACCCCCCACTCCTGCTTACTGTCTCACTCTCCTCCTCATTCCTCTCTGGATCCCTCAAACCCCCAGTCAGCTCTCAAAGGATGATGGCATTGTTAATACACACACACAAAACCTTCTCTGATTTAAACTTTGCCCCAGCTACTCTGGAAAAAAAAAAAAAAAAAAGATTTTAGTAAATGAAGACTGAAGACATTTCAACTGGTCTTTAGTTCTGGGCACACAGAGTTTGCTGCTGCTTGTTTGTTTTGTTCTCCTAAGTGTCTCCCTTGTCTAGACTAAATCATCTCCCTCAAACAGATGATCTGTGATAATTTCCTTCTCTCCTTTTTTTCCTTCCTCAACAGGAGTCATAGCAGTGGTGATATTCATCATCTTTTCTATCATCGGCATCATGACCCGGTTCCTTTACCAGCATAAGCAGTCACACCGCACTAACCAGATGAAGGAGAAAGAATATCCAGAAAATTTGGACAGTTCCTTTAGAAATGACATTGACTTGCAAAACACCGTGAGCGAGTGTAAGCGGGAATATTTCATCTGAAAAACTGCAGGGTTACCTAATAAGTCTTCATTTTGTTGTTGAATTTTTCTCTTTCCCCTTTCTCTTGTCTTTTGGTTTCGGTCATTCTCTTTCTCTTATTTGTTTGCCACTTATTTTTGGAATGTACCTGTATCCACCACAGCCTCTATCCACTTGACTCAGCCCAGAAGACCAGGCAGCTACAGCCACTGCCTTCCTCTTTGATAAACCCATCATGGTGATACCAATCACTCAAGAGACTGATTTGACTGCTCTAGACAAGGAAGAGACACATGCGTGCACATGTGCATATTTAGTTCTATATTTCCAGTTTCAAAAATGCACACTCTCCACTTCCACAGCCATGTAGTCTAGCAGGCTTATTTTGAACCTGTGCTCTGTGACTTAGACAGAAAACAGTCGTCTCTGACATCCTTCCCCATCTCAAGTTCATTCCTTCCAGGGAACTCAGGGTAGAAAGAGAAGATGCTAGAACCTGGTTTGCTTAAGTGGCATTTTAAAAGAAACAAGAGAGGTTTGTTTTGAATTAATTTTTCCTAACCGCAAGAAGTCCATCGCCCTATCTCACCACCCCTTTTCAGAATGGCTCTTATCCGCCAAGTATTTCCAAGTATAGCATTCTTGATGGTAGTGAGATCTATTTCTTTGCTCCTTTCTTACCACTCTCTCCAGGGGCTAAGACTTTAGAACAGCACACAATAGCATAAACCTAGGGGAAGCATGGAAAATAGTAGCTTGAAATTAGGAGGTAAAAGGAAAGCTGCTAGGAAGTAGATATTCTATAACTTCAAAATGCCTCTCCACATTTTGTAAGAAACATTAGCTAGGTTACTCTTGGGATTATTATATTGAAGTATATATATCTATCTATATATATATATATGTTGCTGCAGCTTAAAGAAATTCAAATAAAAGTCTAAAATAGTACCTGGTTCTATGAAAGAATTTAAACTGTTTTTAACTCAGTTTAAAAAAAATGAAAAACAACAACAAAAAAAATTGCATGAAAGAAGGGAAATACCAAACAGAATTCTTTCTTTCCATCTACCCACTAAAGATCTGGTAAAGAAAGTGAATGCAGGTTTCACATTTTTGACCAGACATCATAATTTACCTATGTCCACTAAGTCATTTTCTACGAAGCATAGGAAGCACTGACATGTGAGGTATCATGTTTAGCTTCAGCAAACCTTCACTGTTTGGTTTCAGAGGAGCCCTTGGGTTCTAGAGCTCACCACATTTTCAAATTGGCCACCTCCTATGTATAATGGCTCCTATCACACCCAACATGTTGCAGACATAACTCCCAGATGAGATAGTGGCAATTTCAGATTTGGCCCCTTTTGATAACAAAACATGGGAGAAACAGTCATTCTTTCAAGAAGGCGTCTTGAGTTCCTCCAGAGATGGTGGTGAGCATCCTGATGACTAGTACTAGTCATACTAGTATGTCTGACTCTGCCTCTAGGCCATCTTGGAGAAAAAAAAATTAGGAAAAGCAATATAAATGCTCCTGTCTTATGCTGGAAATATCAATATAATGATCCACACACGTGGAAAGCACTTGCTGATTCTCTTTTCAGGACAAATTCCAATTTGGAAAACAATGGCCACATTGCTGACCCCCAGCCTTGACATTTAGCAGACATTCCATCTTGTTCTTAATTTAATTATCACCTATAATTACTTAACACTTTGCTGCATGATGAGGCTCACAGTGAGGAATCTGTTAGCTTCATCCAATTTCATGTCCATTTCAGCTTTCCCTTCAGTGTCAGTGCACATGACATAAGGATTTAGTTAGGAAATAGATTTCTCAATTTTTAGATGTTACTTCAATACACACGTCTCTCCTTAAAATTTTCTGTGGTTTCTTCTTCACTTCTTCATTTCCATTATATTGCTTTTCTAGTCAATTTAACTTAAAGTGTAAGGGCATTTCTTTCTTTTAGTTTTTATAAGATGATTGATCCATTAATAAAAGGAAGATCTGTAAATACTGTTTCCCCCACCCCATCCTCTCCTATATCCAGTTTTCACTTTTGCATTTTCTATTTCCATAAAAAGACTGTATAAATCAGCCTTTTACTTGGCTACATAGTTCTTTGTCTCCTGAAATAAAAGTTTCCATGAAGTGCAGTGTGTGTAGCCTGAAGCATCTCCAATAAGGAAATAGAAAGAAAAAGGAACGTATGAGTAATAAAGCTGGAACTCTCCATTATTCATGTCTCTGGGAAGCAAGGACTTTATTTGGCTGATGCAGGGCTGGTAGAAGAAATGGAAGAATAGTAAGAGCCAACTCAGAGTATTTGCTTCTCTCATTTACTTAGATACTTGCAGAGAGTTCTCTAGGGTAAAACATTTGTGAGGCTTCATGCTGGCCACATCTGCACTACAGAATCCACCAGAAGGCCAGCCCCCAGGTGTCAGTGATCTATCCAGAGGTACTACTTACCACAGACTTAAAGACCAATGCCAAGACAGTGTGAGCTGCACCTCTCTCTCATAAGTAGTCTCGGAGCTAAGTCAGAATGATTTTTTTTTTTTACAGGGTTGCATTATTGCATAGCCCACAGAGAATACATATCACTATCTGTAAGAAAAAAGAAGCAAATTGCTCTATCCAGAACAAAACACAATTTTCTTTTATAAATAAATGCTGACTCAGACTGTCTTTCCTCAGTGGTACCAAAATCCAAGTAGTTTGTGCAGTAGTTCAATTGTGTGAGTGCTTCAGTCATTGAACAATTATTATCTAAAACAAATATTCTTTAAAACATTCAATCACCACTTTCTACTTCAGTGATCAGGTCTCCTAACCACAAGCTCTGGCCAACTGGACCTCCAGTATCCTCTACTTGAATCTTCAGTCTTTGGTAACTGTTGTTTACAAAAAAAAGATTTTATGGAATGTGGTCACTTTACAATAAAACCAAAAATCCCTGTGCAGTTTCACATGCTAAAGGAGCTGTTTCATTGATATCATTTCCACCAAACAAATGTATTTATACAAGCAACAATGCATTTGCTTGCCCTAAAACATACCTAGCATCCTACTGAATCATTCGTTGTGTGTATAGGTTAGATTGCTGTGGTTTCTATGAGAATTTGTTTAGAGAATTAGACATGTGTCCCTTCTGTGGATAGATTTTTGTGAATTTCTTACTTAGCCTTTTCTATCCACTTTCATCTGCATGTGAGATATTTATTTTAAGGACCCTGGGCTGAAATTTTAACTGTTTTTGTTCTCTTTAGTAATAGCAGAGATGGCACTAACCTGAATTGCACCTTTTGTCAGATACATGAGCAACCACAGAGTAAAGGGAACAGGACCAGAACAAAATAAATTGTTCTCTTCTTTCTTTACTCAATCACAAAGTATTTATTGAATGTCCAGTAGTCAATGGATTGTGCTAGCTTTTGGGCATAAAAATGCAAATGACCACATGTTCTTGTCCTGGAGGGACTCCATCTAGCAAGGGATATTACATGTATTGATGTAATAGGGGTATGCATAAACTGTTACAGGATATAGAGAAAAGGTCCCACCCAATTATTTTTAGAAATTCCTTGCTAGAGACAAAGAAACAGATGCATTTCTGTACATACTTTTATATTTTTTCTTGCTTAATTCTTCCACTTTCAATAAGCTGCTTTCTATTTCCTCTTCACAGTAAATATCGATCTATCAGATAGAGTTTATAGAAGGATATAGATTGACTCTTTGGGGACAGAAAGAATTAGTGGTCCCCATCTCTAAAGTAATTTTTGGGAGACTGAATTTCCCCCATTCTTGTGTCACTGCTGGTTGCAGGTTTCTGAAAGTCCTTCCTATCAATCAGAACAAAATGATGAGTTGGGACCCTACTTAGGGTAGGAAATAGCAATCTCTACTTTTCCCCTAATCTATGCTTTTTTGGGGGGGTCATATTTTTATGACCTATTGCATGCCATTGTCCTTTCGGATGCTCTTTAAGATATCTTTATTGTACTCCAGCTTGTCCTCAAACCCTCCAGTTGTGATAAAACATTTTGACTCTATTCAAGAAGCTCTCTGCGATGAAGTATATCTTTGAATAAATAACTGAGTAAAAGGTGTTGTCCATCTAAATGAGGTTTCATCTCTGTGTCCTGGGTGAAATCTTCCAATAATTAAAGTCACACATCACTTCTCTGTAGTTAGGAATGCTGTGTTAGGTTGTCATAAGTGAAGTGTGTTCTCCAAGATATTCAAGGAGACAGGAGTCCGGCCATTGAATTCTTTCTGATAAACAGCATTGACAGGTTGTCCACCAACTTTCTTGGCATCCTTACAATCTCCCATAGCTATAATCCATCAAATTCACATGTAACACAGTCTGCCAAGGGGGATTTGAAGAACAGCATATAGATCCACTGCTGATTTTTTCTTAATCTTAAGGTTAGGACAAATTAGTAATCAGTTGCCCTATAGGTCACAAGTAGACCAAATAAATGGAGAGCCTTCCTCATTTGTAAAGAGACAAAGGTGGTTAATGGAAGAAGGTGCTAGGAAACTCCGCACTTCCAGAATACTTGGAGGATAATTGACTGCTATTTCATGTCTCTCATGCAGTTTGAAAATGTCTTTTGTAACAGACACATTGTGTGATTGAAATGCTTCCATACTCTTCTCTTGGGTCTTGCTGAACCGCCCCTCTCATTCTTGCACTCTCGTTCCTACTTGTTAAGTCATCTAGTTTGCAGATTTTTCATTCTCCAAGTTTTTATCACTGCCTTCACAAATTCCAAACAGTTGAATCCCCTAAAGGGAAAAAAGCGTAAACATACAGACACTTGGTAAAAATAGGGCTGTTATTCTAACTTTTTTTCAGAACACTTTGTATCTCATCTGTTTGGTAGGGAGAGGGTCATTCCCTTTTGTGTTGACAATTATTTAAAACCTTAATAGAAGATTTTGATCTTTAACTCCTTTGCTATTTTTGAGTGATATTTCTCTTATTTTGCACTAAGGTACTCTGAGGATGAACAGAAAAGCACATTTTTTAGTGAAATACTGTACTTTGTAAACTCATTGTCTGTCTTTTGTATTGTTTATAGTCTACAAAATGACTGAGGGGATATGAGCAAGGATTAAGGCAAAAGTTGGTTTTGATATTTTGACCACACCTGGTGGGAACAGGTTGAAGAGGCAGACGAACACATGCCAGCAATAGGTGGCCAGCCCAGGTGAGAAGTTCGTTGCTTCCACTATGGCTCAGTGGCTGTTACTCTTGCCACCTTCCTGGCTCCTAACTCAGGAGTCTCTAGTGCATTTTGGATCATCTTCTTACACTTTAGGGAACAAGATGACATCATGTGCTTTTCAATTCATTACTCCCCTGTGCATGACATTTTTTTACTTTTCCCCATCCTACTCCAACCACATCCTCTGATTCTTTGGTTTTTTTTATTTTTATTTTTTTTAATTATTTCATCGGGACTTTCCCAGGATGCTTTAGCGTTATCACCACAATGATCTAACCTTCCCAGATTGAACACCCAGAAAAAGCTATAAGGGAAAAAAACTGTTAGAAATCCCCATAGGTCTGCTATCCTGAACTAGAACCCCAATGTCAAGAATTCTAAGGCCCTGTTATCTATCTACTGTCTCTCTTTCCCCTTCTTTGGTCTTGCCACCAATTGACATGCCATATAAGAAGGTATGAAACTCTCCATCCATGACAGTGAATGCTGCCAGGGACTATTCATCTAACATTCTGGGTATCACAGTTTTATTCATCTTCCCCAGCCTAGCAACACAAAGACACATTTACAAAACAGCAGGGCAAAATTAGGAGTGTGGACTTAGGCCATGGCTGAAGGTGAAGTTAATTGTTTTAGTGATTAAATCCTGGTGTATTTTCATTCTCATTATACGCTTCCTTTCCTCAGATGCCAGAAGTAGCCTCAGAGGACATGATAAATGCACTGGGTATTCAAAGAAGCATTGCATCACCCTGCAGACTCTTTGGAAGGCCCATAAGTAGAAACTTGCAAGGGAACTTTAATGAATAATATTAATAAGTATCTGCCCAGTCATACATTTCCATTATAGTCAACCCCATCCCAAAGGTTTTGAATAAGATACCAACATAGTCTCTTCTCTTTGATGGCAGTGTCAACCTGTGTAACCTTGTCCTGCCTTAAATACTCATGCAAAAAATACCAAACCTTGCTGAAAGCAGCAAAGTTATGTTGTGATAGGGACTTTGTATTGAGTGTGGTGCAATACCAAGATTTTCTCCTTCTGGAGCTGGTAGTTGACAAGCCTCCGGATATCCTATGCTGTCTTAGGGTATCACTTTGCTCATTCAACTGAAAGCAGCCAAAGAAGTGTAAGAGTTGCACTTGGGAATGGGAGTGCCTGCCTCCTGAATGTGATAAATAAGGAGTCAGTAATCTTTTCTAGAAAGTATCAAATGGCAAATCCTGTTGCTAGTATTCACCTCTGACGTTGTAGCAGAATGGCAGCCAAATGGGGACGACTGTGTTTCCATAACAATTTTATTTATAAAAACACACAGGTCAGATTTTTGTCCATGGGCTTTAGTTTGCTGATCATTTCAAATGGGAAATCAGTATCTCTCTGGCAGGTAGTAGTCCCCTTTTGGAAGAATGAGGAAGAATATGGAGATTATTTTTTGACAAATAAACAGTACAATGCAAAATAACCTCCCCCCAAATGTATTTATTTACCAAACTCTTTATTGTGGCAAAAGCACAAAACAGGTCACCTCTCTTCGTAGATTTGCCAGAGTCCAGCTTTTCTTTTTAAGCTTCTCATTTTTGTTCCCAAAACAAAATCCCAAGTGATGTTGCCTCGTTCCAAGTCAGTTTTGTAGACCATGTAACATGTCTTAATACACCATAAGGGGAAAAATAAAAGTTAGCCTTAGATTTCTTTGTTTTCTATGGTTACTGTTGTACAGAAGAAAGACTTAACCTGTAAATAATGTATATTTAATAAAGAGAATTTTGTATGATTTTGTGTGGAAGACAAATGTGTCTTGCTGTGTTTTCTTGGGTTAATGAAGAGTCAAACAATTAATCCCTTAGCTCTCATTCTCATTCCTTAGACCATTAACTTACAGACAACATGACCTGTGGGGTTGCTGGAGAAACATGAAACTTCCACTCCCTGGGTTTATTGATTTCAACAGGCTTGTAAGTGCCGTCATGGGCTCTCTCATCGCCCAGCTGAACGGTACTAACCTGCTGCTGGCTCAAATGTGTAAAAGAACAAGTTCATTGACTTGACCAAAAGTCGTGTTTGAGCCTCTGGAAACTCTCTGCTTTCAGCTGCCCACATGAAACTCAGGACCTCTTCTGACCCTTTACCAGTGCCCGCTCCCAGCAACACTTGTGATCTCTCAACTTTCCTTCCCTTGTTCCACAGTCCCCAAAAAACCACATCATTAACCTCAATTGGATTCTGTGGTTGAGATACTGAACATGTATTGTCATAAAAGAAATTTACTTTAGGGCCTCCCTGGTGGCACAAGGGCTAAGTCTCAGCACTGTCAAGCTATGCCAGTCACTGCAGCATGAGTTCCATCCCCGGCCAGGGAGCTACCCACATGGCGCAGCAGACCTCTCCTGACTCTCCCACTGCTCCCCGCAGCAGTGTATTTCAGTCAATTACCTGTTCTGCTCCCCACTCTGTCTCTGGTGAATCCTCTCACTCACACACCCCCACCCCGTACCTCTGATCTACACCCCAGTTCTTGTATGCATAAATAAATAGAATAAATCTTAAACAAATAGAAATTTACTTCAGATGGCTTATTAGGACATTTTGAGAGTAGTTAGTCACACACAAATTACAAACTGATGAGTTTTAAATACATGCATGAGGGCCTCCCTGGTGGTGCAGCGGTTAAACACTGGGTTGCAAAGCTGCCCGCAGCCTCTGCAGCACCAGTTCGATCCCTGGCCGCCGGGCGAGGGTCCCAACATGGCACGCAGACCTCTCCTGTTGCCCACTGCTCCCCTCAGCAGTGTACTTCGTCACTGTGCCTGTTCTGCTCCCTGCTCTGGCTCTGGTGAATTCTCTCACCCTCCCGCGCTTCTGACTATACCCAGTGCTTGTATAAATAAATAAATAAATCTTTTAAAATAAATAAATACATGCATGAGATTATGAGATTTGCCTTTTAAAAAAACATTCAGCTACTCAACGGAGAATGGAGCATAGTGCATGCATGGTAAGGGTGAGAATAGTTAGGGCCAATTGGAGAAGTCAGAGGGACAGTGATGCTGATGTCATCCTAAGATGAAGGAGACATGAATGAAGTAAAATACAAGTTTTTGGTGTGTTTTTAGGATGGCAGCCCTGGGAGCACAGGCTCAAGAAACACTCAAGCTGTGTGTCCCAGTTGCTTATGGCAGGGAGAGCTATAAACGCAGTAAGAGAGTAGAAATAATAGTTTACACTCAGGTCTATTTTATTAAAAAAATACTGATTTTTATACGAATCACATCTTCTGTCCCTACAGTTCTGATTGGTGGTGAGTTCATCACATGGTGATTGGTGAAGCTTCAATCCTAGGCAATGATTGGCTCTAGCTTTGCCTCAGCCTCTGCCTGGAGATGAAGTGTCTGGATATGTCTGCATGTGCCTTGGTGGCATATCTGAAAGTGTCTTGGGACAAGACCTGCAAAGGTCTCCCACTCAGACCCAAATGACTGCATAATGTATCATATTTCTTGCCAGTGGTGTTGGTACCAAAGACCAGCTCTGCCAGGATGTGCCGATGTGGCATGCTGAGTGTTCTGAATTGAAAGGAATTATAGGACAGAAGATCGAAGAATGATGTTTTTGGCTAACTTGCTATGCCCCTAAAACCAGGAAATAAATCTCCATGGTGATCCAGGAAGTGAGAGAGAGCCTGTAGCTTTATCACCCCAGGCTAGGGCTGGCAATGTCTGTTTTTCATGCATATGTAGATAATCCCTGCAAAAAATTCTTTTTCCTTATACTGCAAATTTCTTTGTGCTGTCTCCCCTCCTAAATTTGTTGCTCCCTTTGTAGAAACTATATAACCTCTGAAATGATCAGATGGCAGGTCTAATTATTGATGGCCCTCTTGTTCGTGTTATTAAAGTTTTCAAAGTTTAAAGTTGTCTTTTGCTAATCTCTCATGTCAGTTAATTCCCAGCTTTATGGATCTAAAAGTATGGAATAAGTTTAGCTTCTTTCCCAATCTGGCTTGGACTAGGACTGTAAAATAGAAACTGGGTTCACAGAGAATCCATAGGACTCGCCAATGGATTAGAAGAAGAAGGGGAGGAGGAGAAGAGACTCAAGATGGTCTTTTATGGTTAACGGAATGGTGGGGCCAGAATTCTCATTTTGAATTGAGGAATGATGGCTATGGATGGGAAAGCAAGAAGATAATGCGATCTCGTTAGGATTTATGTTTGACATTGCAACTAGGCAATCAGTGTGGCTCTCAAGCACGTATGAGTATTTGTCTTCAGTTCTGGAGTACAGTCTGGTGTGGAGAGATACTTGGGAAACATATTGTAAGGATAGGAAGAACACGAAGCAGGATCTCTACGATGTGAGCAGATGAGTGAAGGAGGAGTCCTTGGAGACCTCGGTGGCTTTTGCAGGTTTTATTTGGATTTACCAGGTACACAGCAGGCAGGGGTACTGGGGCCGGGAGCATTTGCCAGCAAGTCTTTACTCTTTCTGGGCTCTCTGATGTTGTCTCGTGGTCTCTGCTTCTCTGGTCCTTTCGCTCTCTCTTGCTCTGCTGGTGTCCCCATGATGCTGCCCTTATAAGCCCAGTCTCTCAGCCCAGGTGTACCCACCTATGCATGCCCACACCTACTCCAGGTGTCCACCATCAGGCATGCATTCAGGACCGCAGATCCATCATCAGTCCTAATGGTGGGAGGGCAGAAAAGCCTGATAATTTTTTTTAATTAATTTATTTATACAAGCACTGGGTACAGTCAGAAGCGTGGGAGGGTGAGAGAATTCACCAGAGTCAGAGCAGAGAGCAGAGCAGAATAGACTGACGAAATATGTTGCTGAGGAGAGCAGCGGGCGCAGCCGGAGAGGTCTGCACGCCATGTGGGACCCTCACATGGTGGCCGGGGATCGAACCTCAGCTGCAGAGGCTGTGGGCAGCTTTGCAACCCAGCGCTCAACCGCTGCGCCACAGGGGAGGCCCAGAAAAGCCTCATACTTTTTTACCTTACCCTACACATATGTATATATAGGCTGTGTGTGTGAGAGCGTTGTGTGCGTATGTGTGTGTTTGTGTGTACATATATGTGTGAGAAACAGATTACTTGCGATCATCAAGCAAATGAGCATAACTAGAAATTAGAGCCTGAAAGAAAGGTCTGTTAGAAGAAAGGAGCAAGACATTGAGGGAGGAAGAAAGTGAGTTGAGTAAGTTGGAATGCAGAAAACAGGAGGAAGCAGACAATTCTTAAATGTTATAGAGAAACTGAGTTAGATAATAATAAGCACCATTGACTTTAATCAGTTTAATACACTGGGCCTCCCTGGTGGTACAGGCGGTTGAGCGCAGCGCTGTGAAGCTGTCCACAGCCTCTGCAGCACCAGTTCCATCCACGGCCGGCCAGGGAGCAGCCCACATGGTGTGGCAGACCTCTCCTGTCTCACCTGCTGCTCCCCTCAGCAGTGTATTTTGTCAGTCTGCCTTTTCTGTTCCCTGCTCTATCCCTGGTGAATCCTCTCACCCTCCCGCACATCTGGCCTGTACCCCGGTTCTTTTATAAATAAAATAATTCTTTAAAAAAATAAGTTTAATACACTGATGAGCCTTTTTAGAGTCACTTAATGAAGATGTGAGGAGAAATATCATTTCAGCTAAATGGATTTAAGAAGCTAGGGAGCAGCATGGACTGAGGCTGAAAGCAGTAGTATGTGGTAGTAACTCACGGACACTGGGAATATAGCCAGATCCCCTCAGTTTGGCAACAAAATCTCCTGTTGACAAAAATAATAATAATAATTAGGAATAAACAGAATTACACTCTACCCTTTGCACTCACTTCCCCTTACGCCTTCTCTATAAGTTACCATTAGATCAGATGTAGTCCCTCTACTCCCTCCTTGTGATTAACTGTTAACTTGCTTCAACTGTATTTCCAGATAATTTGAAAAAGCTGATTATGTTACAAACCTAATAAATTTTCCCTGTGTCCCTCTGAGGTTGATAGTGGCATCAGAGAAAAAAACATTTGCTGATTGCTGAGCCTACACTCTGCGGGGAAAGTGAAGCACCCTGACTCCTAAGGCCTGGGCTGCCTGGTACAATGTTAGACATGTGCAGGCCCAAATTTCCCACACATTCCTTCCCTCCCTATAAAAATCACAACACTCTCACCACTTGGGGAGTCAGCATTATCAGAGTGTTAACCTGATTACTGACTGCTTTTGTGGGCATCTCATACAATAAACTCCTCCATGTAAAGACAATTCTTCTGATGCAGAGTTTGGCTTTCTGGGCACAAACGAAAGTTTGTCATTTAAAGAAATGGGTAAACAGGGCCTCAAATCCCATAAAATCTGTTTCTTGTTTTGTGACTTGAAATAAATTAACCACTGTAATTTTTTTTGAAGATGTAAATCAGGAAGTAAAAACAAAAATCTTCCGAGATGCTGAAGATTGAAAGAAATAGATTCAAACCTGTAGAATGTGACTTAGGATCATAGGAAAAAATTTGTGTCTTCCATTTGCATGAACACTTAGCCAAATTCATGGTCTATGGAACCCTGCACAAATGTTACTGGTTGTTATTTATTGCTTGTTATTTCCTGATGCATAAAAAATAAGTGACAAATGCCACAAATTAAATAAAGCAGAGAAAAGAGACTTGGGCTTTGTCTGGCAAGGACGCGGAAGTTGTTTGTAAGCAGTTTGGACTCAAAGAGGTCTTGAGTTCTTGTTCTAACACTGCATAAATGAATTTTTGAGATTCCCCTGCCCCCACAGTAGAAAGT